TAAGTCAATTGCTCAAGATCACAGAACTAGTTGGTGGCCAAGGCCGGGGCAGAGGCCAGGCCTCTTTACTCCGTGTCCTCAAAGCCCTTTTCACCCTGGTGTTGTGACATCAGCATGGGCCTAGGGTCCTGCCTCTGCTAGACAATGTGTCCTGAAAAGTGCGCCTTCCATCTGGGACATCCAGATCCTGTTCCCACCTTCCTTCTCAGAACACCCTCTTCGTGTCTCTGGGAAGCCTCCCTATTTTCTCATAGTGAAGTGTCTGGGACAGTTCTCAGGTGACCCAGAGTCTGGAAACTGCACAGAGCAAGGAAAACAGGCATGGTATGCTGGAGTAGGTATTATTTTTGTGATTATGTAAAAGAAAATGATGTGGAACTTAAAGATATTGATCACATAGACGCTAAAAAAAGATAATGGTTACCAGAGACTGTGGGGGTATCGGTCAATGGGGACAAAGTTACAAGCAGATAAACAGGAACAAGTGTTGGTGTTCTGTTGTACAGCAGGGCCATGATAGTTAACAATAACATAACGTAACAATAACGTAACATTTAGAACAGGTAGACAATTTGGACTATTGTTTTTTTTGTTAATTTTTTCAGTTGTTGATAGATCCTTATTTTATTCATTTATATATAAGCGCTGCTGAGATTMGAACCCAGTGCCTCACACGTATGAGGCAAGTGCTCTAGATTTTGACTATTCTTACAACAAAGAAACAATATATATTTAAGGTGACAGATATGCTAATTATTCTAATTTGATCATTAACAATGTTTACAGGTATCAACACATGACATTTTACACCATGAATGTGTTCAATTATGATGTTAATTAAAAATCAAACAAAACTTGGAAAATAATTTTATAAAAGAAAATGCTGAGAAGCTTGGAAGGAAAGATCTCACCGCTTTGGTCCCTGCCCCCGCGGGTCTCACCTCTGCGGCAGGCCCAGCCCATGCTCCACCTTCTCAGATATCCTGTCCCTCCCAACTCAGCAGCCCTATGTGCAGCCCAGCATGGGAACCCAGAAGGGGACCCGCGTGTCGGATTTGTTCTGTCTCCTTCATGCTCTGTCCCTTGGCCAGGCTGTATGTTAGTCCCCGTCTGTTGGCCCGTCTCTCTCCTTCCATCTCTCTTCCTTTTCTCATTGTTTCTGAACCATCCCTCTTGCTCTTAAGGACCACACAGTTTCTCATCATATGTTTTTACTTTTCTCTTAGCATAATTTCCTGTTTCAGTTCTCTCATGACTAACGTGTGTCGCGGTCCCAACGCTGCATCTTTGCTTCCTCTTGGGGTCTGTTTCCAGGTGTCTGACTCAGTCTTGCCATGTTCCCGACTCACCTCCTTCTCCCACTAGTCTATCTCTTCTTTTCTGGCTGGCTGATGGTTGGTCACTTTGGTCAAGTGTGTCCTCTGGACCAATTGCCCTAGAATAGGGTGATTTGTACAAAGCTTGGCAGTGGTCCTGAAAATCTGATGCATAAAAGATGCACATGATTTAGCTTCTCTGGTGCCCACGATTCTGTCCAGCCAATTTCCCCTTCTTCTGTGACATCAGAAGTGGATGATTTCACCTTCTTCTGACCCCCAGGCCTGTTGGAGTTCATGTAGCACTTCTGCTACTGTCCCTAGAACCATAGAGAGGCCTTCCGCCTCCTTTCTGGCACTAATGAAAGCTATGGTGGCATAAGAACCCTGTCATGGACATTTCAATCAGACTTTGCACATCATCTTGCACAGAGAAGGCTCAGACTAAAAAAAAAAAAAAAAAGGGATTCTGAAGTAATTTCACTTGAAGCAATTGGGCAAACTTTTGGGGCTTCTTTGGGAGACAGAATCTTCTTGGGGGAAACAGGGCACGGATACCCAGTAAAGATTTTTTCCTATAATTATAGAATAATGACTACCATCACCATCTTCATTTATAGAACCTTAAGCCAGTTGCTTTCTAAAGCACTTTGTATCCTTTATCTCATGCAATCCTAAGGACAACCCTATAAGCTAAGCATTACTATCTCTTCTCTGCAAATGAGTAAACTAAACCTCAGAGAGATTAAGAAAGTCACCTAAGGTCATGGAGCTAGTAAGTGGAAGACCTGGATGTCCAACCCAAGGGTATCTAATGCCAACTCTGAGGTCAGCTATGGACATGCACTGGCAGAATGAGGCATGAGCCGGGCACAATGGAGCACACCTGTAATCCCAGAGGCTGGGGAACCTGAGGCAGGAAGAGTGTAAGTTCAAAATAAAAAAATAAAAATAAAAATAAAAAAACCAAGTGGGAGGGGGATGGGAATGTAGCTTCATGGTTAAACAGCTGGGTGAAATCCTCAGTACCTTAACAACAAAAACAACAAAAAAATGAGGACATGCTGGTCCCAGGCTCTTGCGTAAGTGCTTTGTCCTTGGTCTAGAAAATGGTATTACTACATGGCTGATGATTTTCTTTTCCTTCCTCCAGATTTTCTTTCCAAATTAAAGCATCAATTGTTCTTGCAAAGCGTATGTCATAGCCTTTGCTCCCTGGCATCTGAACTGCCATCAAAACGTTTATAGGGGTCATTCTCGGGGACGCTGCAGTCTGGTTTCCTGCAGCATAATCTCACTTGCTGGTCTTCCCCTTTGCATGGCATTTGGATGATGAATGGTCCCTTGGTGTTCCTGGGATCTGCACCCCCTCCTCCAAGACTCACTGCAGGGGTCCTCTTTCCCCTTTAAGGACCCTGCTTGCCCTCTGGAGTGGTCAGGGCTCAGATGCATTTGCACGGGAAGCGGTGCCTTTGGACATTGCAATGTGCCTCCTCCTCTTTTCTCCATTCTAGCTCCACAGTTCTTCGCCCTGGTCTCCTCCTGTTCCCTCACAGATTCCGCTCTGCACCGAACAGTCACCAGTCTTCAGTTTCTACAGGGTCGCAGCCAGGACACCCACTCCTTCTTTCTTCTTTTTGGAGGCTTGCTCCAAAATTTCCATAGCTTGCCCTCTTCTCTGGTCTCCCCTTGCCTCTTGCCTTGGCTGCGGCCCCTCTCAGGTCTGCTTTACTCTGTCCCATGGGAGAGCATCTGCCATTCTGCTTTCATTCAGTGTGTGATTTTTAACCTCTTCTATGTGCCATGCATGGGGGTGTGTGGTGACGGAGATAAATAATAAAGTGGTAGGATTTAAAAAAAAATTAAATAGACTTTATTTTTTTACTCCTGGACCCCACACATGCACAGCCTCCCCCACTGTCAGCATCCCCCAACAGAAGGGTACATGAGTTACATTTGCTGCACCCGTATTGATGTATCATTGTCACCCAAGGGCCACACTTCACTCTTGGTGTTGTATGTTCTCTGGGTTTGGATAAGTGTGTAGTGACGTGTCTTCATTATAGAATCACACAGAGAAGTTTCACTGCTCTAACAACCTTCTGTGTTTTAGGAATTTTTAAAGCCCAGTAAAAGATGGTGGAACTTAAACAATCACGATGCATTTTTTCTCAGTGCGGAGATGGAGATGCCAATAGAAATCTAGTTGGAGCACAAGAAGGGGTAGCTAATACTCTGGAGTGGGATCCGTGGAAGTTTGGGGGTTCAGTAAGACAGTTGCATTTTCTATGTTGGCAAAGGATTAGGCGTTGTGAGGCATGTGAGGCTGAAGGGACAGCTGGCCAGTAAACAGAGTCACTGAGGGAACGCAGCATGTGGTGAGTCTGCGGTGGTTAAGAATGAGAACCCTGCAATCCCCTTGATGGAAATCCAAATCCGACCTCTGCAACATACTTGCCATATGATATCGGCCGAGTTACTGAACCTCTGTGAGCCTCAGTGTCCTCATCTGTAAGATGGGATGATAGTTCTTGCTTATAGAGACACTCTGGGGATAAATGGCAAAGCATGTAATCATCTCAGTGAGTGTCCTGCTGTCTCTGGACCCAGCTGTCAGCTCTACATGGGCATGCAGAGAGGCAATGGTAATGGGACTCAAAAGTCCTTCGTAAGGACTTGGAACTTTATCAGGGAGTCTGGTCTCCAGGCTGTTGCTCAGTGACTTTCAATCTTGAGGGTGTGTAAGAATCACCTGAGAATTTGTTGCATGAAGATGTCTTAGTTGTTTTCCTGTATTTTCTATTTTAGTTGGTCTGTGGTTGGGCTCAGAGATCCTGCTTTTAATGGTTCTGCTATAACTGGTCCAGGTCCCATTTTGGACTTGCTCACTGGGTAATCATAGGGCTCTTTGTAGTATCTCTGCTAAAGAAATCAAGAGTTTACAGACACACAAAGAGGTATGGGGCTTTATTAAGGTCAGGCACCAAAGGGGTCAGCAGAGCTGGAGTCGAGCCCATTCTAGCTCCACGGTGGCTTCCAGGTTGTTTCTTCTTATTCAAACACTATCCACACAGTGCCCAGCCAAAGCCAAACCCAACCCCTGGCTTTTGGGGTAAAGGTCTGGTTTTAATAGGGCTCATGTGTCCTGGACACCTCAGATCTATCCTGAAAGCATGGCTTTCATTCTGTATAACCTCTCGCCCCGAGCTACGTTATGGATTAAGAGCAAAATGCTTATGAGCATCCAGGTCCTCAAATTTGACTTCTTTTTTTTGGTACTGGGGATTGAAGGCAGGGGTGCTTAACCACTGAGCCACATCCACAGCCCTTTTTAATATTTTATCTAGAGACAAGGTCTCGCTATTTGCTTAGGGCCTCACTAAGTTGCTGAGGCTGGCTTTGAACTCATGATCCTCCTGCTTCAGGCTCCCGAGCTGCTGGGATTACAGGCCTGCACCACCACACCTGGCTTGATTTTGACTCCTTGGAGCACTTAACCAAGCACAGTTATAGAAAGGGAAACCCCACTCCTCATGGAGGGGCCTTTAGGTCAAAGAGCCCATAGGGTTCAGGGCAGGCCTCACCTGCTTCTTCATTTTGGGTATTGGGGGTGCTCTCCTCTCCGCTTGGCTTCTAATGAGAACTGTATTTCCTTCTATCCTGCCTGCCTACTCCAGGTTCCTGTGGCTAAAAGCAATTAGCCCTTCCTTATCTAGGGGAACTTCATGTTTTTGGTAGCTGGGGCTCACTAGCCTGATCTAAGTATCACCAGGTTCACAAAGAGAACTCTGCAGTGCCACCTCTTTCTGGAAGAGGATCCTGAAGACATTAATTGTGGTGAGGTCCTATGCCATTGATCATAGAGAGTTCAGTATATGCTGGATTAGGGATTAGGCATCCCTGCCCTGGTTTATTCTTTTTCTAAAATATATATATATATTTGAAAAATTTTTATTCATTATTTTATTCTTTTTTATTTTATTTTTAAAATATTTATTTATTTTTTTAGTTGTAGTTGGACACAATATCTTTATTTATTTATTTTTATGTGGTGCTGAGGATCGAACCCAGGGCCTCACACGTATGAGGAGAGCACTCAACCACTGAGCCACAATTGTAGCCCCTTTTTTATTTTTAAATTATTTATTTATTTAAAATTTTTTTGGTTGCAGATGGACATACTCTACCACTGAGCTACAACCCCAGCCCCTCCAGTTTATTCTGAAATCCCCCAAACCAACCAGTCCCTCCCCATTTTTAAATACAAAAGCATTAAGTGCTTTAGCAGCTAGGATCTGTCTTGTCTTTTTGACTTGTTGGCTTTTTTTTCTTTTTGGCAGAGATACTTGAGAGCAAATTTGAAGAATTGGCTAAACGTTCCCTCTCCAGTCTCCATCAAGTGCCCTGCAGGGAGACGTGAACACCCCATGAGAAGAGGGTATGTTGGAAATGGAAGAAGATCAGCTGCATGGGTCCCAGGTCACAGATGGAGCTTATAAACTAACGAGTGCTAAAGGCAGCTGGGAAGGCCCTGGCTTTGGAGAGACATTGATGCCTAACCCCAGGGTGGCCTTAGGCCTTTGCTGGGGCTGGTCACCATGGCCACTTTAACCTTTTTGAATGCTAGAGGCTCTGCAGAAATGACACATCCAGTCCCCCAGCACCAATTGTGGCAACAAAAGTGTAGGCCCAGTCGTTTCTGCCGTTTTCTATAGGGACGGAGAGGAGCATGGCAGGGTGTGTGTGTGGGGGGGGCAGGGTGGAGAGCTGTAGAATTATCTCCTTTTTGTTAACTTTGACAGTGACTGGACTGTCCCACATGTAAAGCGACCCCACACTGCATCCCCAGCCATTGCCTTATTTGCTCTCAGGCTGAAGTGAATAAAAACAACCATTTAGGGAGCATTGAAGCTGTGTCAGATATTTTATGTGCATCATTTTAAATCATAACCAGCTGGAGAGCTGTTCTCTTAACCCCCGTTTTGCATACAGAGGCTAACTTACTGACCCAGGGTAGCTGAACAGCCTGGGTTCACACCCAGGTTGGCAAGAGTCCCAGTGGGTGGTGTTACTGCCTTTAGGATCCCATGTCCTGTTGCCTCTCTTGGAAACAGAGTCAGGTCATTATCCTGAGTGACAGGGTGGTTGCTTAGTAACCTACACCAATTGGAAAGCATGAACTGCGGCCTGACAGATGACTCAGGGTAAAATTGGTCCCAGTCCTGGGCTTGTGCAGTTCTGGACATTCCCAGAACTCATGGAATTACTTGGAAGGAAGGCAGTCAGAGTGGGATTAGAGCCAAAAGAGAGATAAGGTGCTGGAACTGTATGTCTACAGGAGTTTGTCCACATAAATACGTAGGTTTTAAATTACACTGGCCTTGTGATTTCTGCGTCTGCGGCTGCCGTCTGAGGTTTCAGGCCCAGTCACAGAGCTTCCCTGCCTGTTTACATACCAAGAGGGACAGTGTTTGGGGACTCTCCCCAAGCGTCAGGGCACCTGGGATGGGAACAAATTGACTTTGATGGTCTAGCAAATAGAATTTTATATTCAATACCATAATTATTATGTTGCTATTTTCTGATATGATTTTTTTTGACCCAGGGGCACTTAACACTGAGCCACATCCCTAATCCTTTTTTTTAAAAAATATTATATCTAGAGACTGGGTCTTGCTGAGTTGCTTAGGGCCTTGCTAACTTGCTGAGGCTGGCTTTGAACTTGCAATCCTCCTGCCTCAGCTTCCCAAGCCCCTGGGATTACAGGCATGAGCCACTGCACCTAGCTTTGGATGTGTATTTTGATTGATGACTTTGGATATGATTCCAGGATAACTGGTCATTAATAATGTTATCCTCCTCAAGTGAGTTCAAATATATGCTCACCACCACCAATGTTGTAGGTTCGACTAAGGAGCTGACACCAACTAGTCTCCAAACCCGATGTGTCACCAACACGGAGAGGTGAAACGGACAAACAAGCAAATAAACAGACAGAGCCCAACTAGGCAATAAACAGATCCTCAGATTGAGCCAAGGCTGGAAACTTACTTGGTAGAAAAACTGCATTTTGAAAGCTACCCCAGGTAATAACTCTGGCATCTAGCCAGTTTTGTGAAATCTTGAATGAATGGTCTTGGACGAATAAAGAAATTCTGGATTTTTATTTTCAGCTTTGAGGAAATATCCAATCTTTGAAATGAAAAGGTCCTATAAACCACAAACGGCCAGGGTCAAGGTGTTAGCAAACCGCGTCCTATTCCAGTCAGAACCTTGGAACATGCAGACCTTGAAGAGAACATGTGGGGTTTTCATAATCATGATACGGTGTGAATTGAAAGCTGCGGTCTCAGTTTGCATTCCGGCTCTGCCAATAAACTGCTGGGTGGGAATGTGGGTGAATTGCTTTGCTTCTCTGTGGCTCCCTTTCCTCATCCACAACATGAGGGGCTTGCTCCTTTGGATTTCCCAGTTTTCCGAGTGCTCCAAAATGCTGTGATTAGCATCTCTGTTCTCCTTTTATGTCCACTGAGTTAAGTCAGATTATCAAATATTTATCGAACACCTGATACTTGTCCAGGAACCGAAATTATTTGAAATAATTGAATCTGGAAGGACAAAAAAAAAAAAAAAAGAAAGAAAAAAAAAGACAAAGAAAAGAAAAATAGGAGGACTGAAGAAGGGACAGATATTAGGAAGAGAAATTGATGGATCTCTAGGGGTGAAGAATGTGTGAACTCTAACAGCATTTCCCCTTTCTTGGTTAGAGCCATCTTGTGTGGCTAAAGTGCCGGTTTCAGTGAGACAATGACGAAGAGGGAGAGCAGCAAACAAACGTAACCTGAGAGATGGCAACTGTGTTACTCAGCCCTCTGGATGACAAATATTGTTAGGTGATAAAAAGTACTAATGCATCAGGTGCTAATCTGCTGTTAAAATGCTGCTTCAGGAAAAATGTATTACCAGAAGGGAAGAACTGGTGATTTGACAGACAGGAACAGCTGGAGGCCCCTATAATTGTCCAGATAGGAAGCAGGAAAAAAAAAAAAAAAGAAGTTGTATGTTGTGTGGAAGGAACTGGCGTGAGCTGTGTCTCTCGAATGTTCTGGTTTCTGAAGGTGATTGATCAGATCATTTCTTGATGGCTCACAGGGCTCAGAATTGGGGTGTGATGAACAGCAGAAGCCCCCATCCCATGAAGGTGCCTCAGTGGACCTCTTCTTCTGCAGAGGAGCCAGAGGTCCAGGGTGGGGGTCTCCAAATGGCTTTTTGAGTTGGACAGAAGCACTGGAGGTGAGGGGCGGGGGGTGAGAGGGAGAAGGGAAGGGCACGGTAGCCCCAGCAATGCATCATTAAGTCAACAGTTCTGTGCTGGCCTGCTGTATACATTGGGGGTTCCCCAGGAAGTGTTAGGACAACTTAGCTAGTTGGAAGAACTCTGGAGCTACTTTAAGGGCATTAGTCACCTGTTTGGCAAAGCAAAGTTGGGCAGAGATTGACTTCCGGGTAAGTCTGCTTTGGCTGGCTTGTGTCTGGGGTGACTTTGCTGGATAATGTGACCAGATTTCCTGGTACAGAGAACTGGGAAGAAGGTACATTTGTTATTCCACACCCTCCCTACATTCCAGAACTACCCTCCATCACTGTCTGGGGATGGCGTGGAGTGAGGAGTGGGGTGGGGTCCACATAGGGAAAACCCACTGAATACGCATAACAGCTCTCTGGGTTAGCTGCTGTTATCTACAATTTTGAGAGGATGAAGTGGAGGTTCCTGAAGTTCAAGGGTCTTGCCTGAGGCCTCGCAGCCAAATAGAAGTGCTGGAGAAGCATCAAGAAGTAGGTTCTGAAGTCACTTCGCTGGGCCGGACTCTCAGAATACCCCAGAGTATAAGTTAGGCCTGGAAGCAACCAGAACCATCTCTAGCCAGGAGGCAGACCTGACTGGGTGCAGGAGGAAGGGGTAGACGTCCACCTGCTGGCCCGAAGGGGCTGAGGAAGGCTCTGCAGGCTTTCCCAGGCTTGGGCTCCCTTGCACTCCATAACAGGATCAGTGTGAGAACGAGCAGTCCAGGCAGGACTCTCAGTGTAGCCACGAACTTCCTGCAAGAGCTAAGTCAAAGCCTCTCTAAGCATCAAAATCAGGGTCATAAAATACTGTACTGTTAGGTAAAAGGAATAATAAAGGGTTGAATCTCCAAAAATTTATAAGGAGTAGCTCATGAAAATAACAATATTTCCCTTAATATGAGTTGATTCATATCCTTTGAAATTTAGGGACCACAATTTTACTGTCTGATATGAAGAAAGAATAGTATGCAGGGCAGGCCCCGTGCAAACATTCCTTGAATGTTCTCTTCTTAGATGAGAAAGGAACAAAGAAGTTATGTAGAGCATCCTTGTCCTGAGATTAAGGCAGAAGTGTCCCTGTGAACCCAGAATGCATTCTTGACTTCCATTCAGTTGCTGGAAATGTCAGGTGATTTGCTAATTGTTTCACACTCTTTCCCACGGTGTGCATCTTGGTCCCGTTTCAAATCTTTTAGAAAGCCGAGGGTCTACAAAGAAACCAGTGTCAGCAATCTCAGTGGCACAGATGCTTTCTTCCTTTCCACATTTTTTTTTCTCCACAGACATCTCAGATAGAGTTTCCCTCTGGTATCTCTCTCAGGATACGGACCCCAATAAAACGTATGGCCCGACATACCAGCAGCCTCACCGAGCCGCAGACACATGCTTGGAATTCCGCAGTCTACTGTGAGGCAGGCAAAGAAAGCCCCAAGCAAGAAAGACAGACACTGGGCACTTTTGAACTTATTCTGGGTGTTAAAGGATCATTAAACGGGAAAGGATGTGTGGAGACAGCAGCCAGAGTTTCTTAGCTGACTCAGGAGACCGTTGTCATAGGAGCCAGAGCCCAGCCATGTCTGTAGCCCACATAGGCAGACCCTATGAAGTCCTGAAAGGTACTTGCCATCATCCTATGCAGAATAAAATCTTCTTTAAGAGACGGTAGGCCAGAGTTGCATCTGGGTAGAGGACGTCTGTGACTTTCTCCAGGGGAAGAGAGTCACAGAAGGTTGGATTCTTTTTTGTCCAGGATGCATTCTGTCCACCTGTGGGGTGGGGGTGGGTGGACCCGTTGCCTCTGGCTGGTGTCCATTCAGACTGGTTGATGCCCAGGTGGTATCTGTTACTAAATATCTTGAATATCACCCCAGTCATACATATCCTCCATAAAATGGATTAGTGGAGATCTTGAGACTTTATCGTGAAGGCAGTGGGAAAAGAAAATAGGCGTTTGTCAGGTGGGGAAGGCATTCCACAGACTTCCACAGATGCCACAGACTTCTGTTCTCATCATGGTTCTTAACCAATGACTTTAAAGAAATGACAGTGTCATTTGGAAACCTGATAAGCTTGGGAAGTTGTGCTCAACCTAGTAAAGAAAGAGTTACTTACTTGGATAATTTCTTGAGTCTTGGGTTAAATTTTACTTCTCTAAAGAAGCCTTCCAGGGTCCTGAGTCTAGATTTAACCCCCTCCTATCTGCTTCCTTAGTTCATAGTATTCTCCTTGTTAAAATTCAAAGTAGTCCATGGTTATTATTTATTTATGGTGAATATTTATCCTGCTAGACGGATAGATAAATAAGGGTAAAGACTTCATTGGTCAATAGGTGTTCAGCTAGTATGTATTAAATAAATGAATTGAGCATTTATGATATGGCATATATATACTATCTTCAGGGGGTCACTCCATTGAGGACGCAGTTCAAAAGCCACCCTGCATTTGGGGGACAAATGGATCCTATACAAGGTGCTATAGGAAATGCAATGAGAGGAGCAGTTATCTCAGGGTCCCGGGCTTATTGGGGGTGAGCAGTGTGCAGTGATGTAATTAGTGAAAATTTGAAAAGACTTCATCATGAAGATAATGGGAAAAGGAAATAGAAGCTTGTCAGGTGAGGAAAGAATTCCACAAAAGAGGGATCTGCAGGAAAAAAGCACAGGGGGATGGAGCAGGTATGGTATATTTGTAAATGGAAGCCACCCAGTTGATAAAAGTTAGTGTATAAARGAAGAAATAATGAAATAACAGACATGGTATGGAAGCTGGATTCTGCCTTCAGCACAATGGGGGAATTTTAAAATATTTTAAGAAGGGAGTTACATTTTTTTCAAAAACATAGATTCAGTAGTAAGAGATTGGATTGAAAATTGGAAGATCTCAATTATAGGGATATTTACTAGAGGACCAGAATGTGGGGAACTCACTCCTTGAATATCAGGAGTAATGGAGAGGACATAGTCAACGTTCTCTCAGGCACTGATGCTTCCACAAATGTATATTTTGGCAGGCTGGAATGTAGTGAGCTGTGATTTTTTAAGACTATCATTTGTCCTCTTCATACATCAGTAACTGCATCTGTAAATTGTAGGGATTGGACTAGAAGATCAGCATGTCCCTGAAACATGAGCACTCTCTCTAACTCTCCAGAGTCATAGGCCAGTAGTGTATTATTATTGGTAATAGTGTTGTGGTACTACTTAGATAAAATGAAATAAACACAAACAGTGGCTTGGCAGAAGTTCTTGTGAAAAGACTTAGAACTTTTATTTGACTACAAAGTCAGCATGGCTGGCAGTGTGGCAGAGAAATAGGATATAGAAACAAAGAGGTCCCAGTCTCATCATCTCTTTATGCACCCAGTTAGGGTATGTCTTTAACTTGAGATTGTTCTAGGTGTCACTCTTGAAAAAGGACACAGACAAGAAGGAGTGAAAAGGTGACCAGGATGGGAAAAGGTCTCACATTCAGATGGTAGGAAAACTGGACAAAAGAACTAGACATATTTAGCTTGGAAAGCAGAAAAGGAAAATGTATGAACTACCTTTATCTATTTGAAAGACTTTTATGTAAAAAAAGGGATTTTGTTTTATGGGACCCAAGACAGCAAGTTTAAGATCAATGATTGGAAGCTTCTGAAAATCTATTTTGGTGGAATCTAGGTATATTTTTCAGAAACAGAAAGGATTTTATAAGTTTAGTCTATTTGCC